GAAAACAACAAACACCAATTATACATGCTGAGTAGATCATATGTTATTTAATACCAACATAATTGTCAGGTACTTGCATCGTGTTTGAGAGAGGATGAAGACAACCAGAGTTATATCGATCAGAAACTCGCAATTGTAAACCAAGATTTTTTTTTTTTTTGCCTATTGCCTCTTGGTAGAAGTGCAGCACTTGTGCCTTTTGAAAAATAAATAAAGGGAAATTATTCTCTGATTAAGGGATTAAATTTTCTTTTTCATCAAAAGTCTTTTGTATCTTGTGAAAATTCAAGGACCTTATAGCTATGGATCTTTATGCAGTACATTTTTTGCTGAAAAAAACAATTATTCCAATCTATAATTTGAGTAAGCACAAAATGAAGGATATACAAATTATAATGTGTGTAAATCATAATGAATATACCAAATGCATGCAAAAATACGCATAATGGATGTTATCGTTCATCTGATATATAAGGGCCAACACTATTGGATATGAACATAAATCTAAACAGATCAGTTCAGCTAATATATTGATCTTGTAAGGCACTTGAGCAGCACATTCCATAAGAGGTTGGCGATGAACTTTTATCCATGGTTAGTTCCCTTGTGCAACGGATGAAGCTCGTAATCTTGGAGCTTAGAGAAAATGGAAAACATGTCAATGAAGGCAGTGTCACAACGATCTTGTTGAAACCTATGTTCAACACTCTGAAATTACGTAAGAAAGAAAATAGCAGATATGGTGTGCCAGTATGAGCTATTTCTTCACCTCAATCTTTTAGTCCAATTCTTACCCTTGGGTAGCTCTGGAACATGCTTTTTGTATCTTTTGGGATCATGCCCCCAAGAGATATTTGGTAGTTACAAAAGGAGCTTTTTGTATCTTTTGGGATCATGCCCCAAGAGATATTTGGTAGTTACAAAAGGAGCTGGCCTTCTGCAAACTAAAGAGGTGATTGAGTTTAATATCTGTGTTAAATATTTTACTGATATAGAGGGCACGGTATCAAACTTGGAGGCGGGTAAATAAGATCGTCAAACATAGAAAAGGGATGAAAAGATTCTGAAGTGCAAAATCGCCATGACGCTGGTGGAGCTATGTGGAAAGCATCAGAAGCCCAGAGGAGCTATGGCTATCTTTCGGGATTTCTCAGTCTCTCCCTCATCAAGAATCAATCTGTGGAAATAGTATGCAGCAGCCTGGCAAGGGGGAAGAACAAAATGTACACAGATGAAAGGATAATTGTGCACTGATGAGTGATGATATGAAATGAAAATTGTGACATGAAAATCATAGATTTATGAATCGCTGGTGCCTGATGAGTGATAATAAGACTGAGAAAGACACATGTTTCCAGCATTTGATCATCATGCAAGCTAATCATAATTTTACTGCTAATGCTACCTTTGGTTAAACAATTGCAGTCCAAGTTACATAGCAACCCCCTCGAGGACGATTAGTGGCTGAAACTGAACCCCAAACATTTGTGTAATTAAGTAGTATATTGTTAAGTAATTATGTAGGCCACCTGAGTTATTGTCTTAGTTAAAATAGATTATGAATTCTTTTGCTTAAAGCAATCAGCTGTCTATTAAGCTTGCGGGCATGTTATGTACTTGCTACTATTGAATGGACTGCATAAAGTGGCATGGATTAATTTAGCTAGATTGCAGATCTGGTGTACCAAGTAGAAAATTTGAGGTTTGAATGAAAATAGTTTGAATATATATCGTGATGTGAAAAATCCATGTTTTGGATCATATACCTTCTCTTTTCAGAGCTTAGGGTCATAAGCGGTGGACACTGCCTTTGGTATGACCTGTTGCTTACTTTCCCAGGTATTGTTGCCTTTTCTTATATAACTACTCACGTTGGGTTAAACAACTTAATCTGACATGTAAATAAAGAGAAAAGGACCTTTGACGTTTAGATTGACCTCAATATGACACAAGCAAACAAATACCATTGCTATTCCAAAGCGAGTAAGAGTGAACACAAACTGCTGTTTATGAAACATGCAAGAGTCTAAGAGCATTAATAGATTTGGCACTCCTTAGAAGGATTTTAGTGAACAACGATATATATTCCACACAGGCTGCATGCCTCTGCATATAAAATTTTAGGCAAAAATAAAAGCTTCGGGAGAATTTCAACAAATGGCATACAACTTACAGAGACGACTTGCAGCAGCAACAGCGTTGCTTCAGTCAACAGCTTGACTTTGAGGCATTACGTCGAGCAGCTGCTGGACATTATACATCTTGTCGGCTGTTCAAGGCTTCAAGCTGTTGTAGCGCTCGTTGGCTCGGTCCAGATTCAAAGAGGCAAGAAATGGTAGTCGTGGCTAGGAAACGTGCACAGAGATTTTCAGATTAGAGATTCCATGAAAATTTCAATGAGGCTGCAGGCTATATTTTGTCAGCAAGGGAGCTTGACAAGTTCGACGGGAGTGGAATAGGGTATGGACCTGAGGGGCGGCAGCAGTGCGCCGCCCATCTTCCTCTAGTTCGTTCCCCTTCCGTTGGTCCTCTTCCGTGCAGCAGCACAGAGGGCACTGAGAAGGAAGTAAGGATCAGATCATATCAAGGTCAAGTGATCACGTACATTGTTCTTGTAGCCTGCTTGCTTTGTTTCTCTTCCTCTGGGACGTAGATACGTACAAGGCAGAGCACACGGATGGTGGAGCCCGGCGGGCGAGGTCGCCGTGTCTCGCGCCGCCCTTCCGCCGGCGCCGGTGCCGCTGCTCCAAGCTCCACTCTTTTCGCCCGTGCCCCACTCGATTCGCCCGCACCAATTGCTGCCAGCGTTGCCTGCTCAGCCCGTGCCTCAGTGCCTGCAGGGGAGAAGGGAGGAGTTGCAGAGGATGATGGAGCAGCGGGAGGAGGGAGACGCGCCGCGAAGGGGACGGGTCGTATGCCGAGCGGGTTCGCGAACAATCGCGACCGAGAGAGAGAGAGAGAAAGGGGAGGGCGAGATGGAGGTGAGAGGCAGGCGAGGGAGAGCAGCGGTGGAGGAGGAGGCGGCGCAGGAGGAGGAGGGCGGCCGACGCCGCCGCACCCCGGTCGCGCCCGTCGCCGTGGTCGCGTCGGGACAGAGAGGGTCCGGCGATATACAGGCCTAATTTTGGTAAAGTTTGAGGGTTTTTTTAAAAAAAACCTGAGGGGAGGCCTGGACTACGGGTTGATTCCACTAAAGTTCGAGTCTTTTTTTTGAAAAAAGACCGGGGCTCGCACGATCTGGGCCGTCCGTGCGGCCGATCTGATGGCCAAGAAAAGCGGTTGACGTGACCACGCTGCCTGTCCCTCTTTTGGTAGCAGAGTTACTATAGTAAGATGTGGACTTCTAGTGAAGGATGATTCGTATTGAACGCAGACGCACGAGCAGGAATTAAGATTTGGTATAACCGGGTAGATTTGGTACTGAGCAGATTTGGTATAATAACATATACTCTATCCGTACCTAAATAAGTGGCGTTCTCATTTTCTAAGGAGTCCAGCACCTTTAACTTTAACCAAATATATATAAGAAATTATTAACATTTATAATACATAATTTTTGAAATAGTGGGAGTATAAAATATGCTTGGTAGAGTCGAGTTAAATAAACGCCGCGTTCCTTCCTCGTGGAGTTTATTAAACCTGCATGTAGCCATGCAGACCTACAATGAGCCGTTTAAAAAGTTATAATAAAATAAATAGTAGATTATTCCAAAATTTACAAAAAACAATAAATTGTACAGCCATAATTATAAATTTATTTTTCATATATAACATAATAGATGCAAAAACGTAGTTTTGCCGGATATATTTATTTTCCAACATAAACCTTTCAGTATCAGATTTTCTCTATAGAATAAAAAGTTACACCGACCCAACGTCACAGGTTGCTTAAACTAGTAGAGGCTACTCCATCGGTTTCAAAATATAGATTGTTTTGATTTTATTCTAAGTCAAACTTCTAAAATATCAAATAAAAAATTATTGTCAAGACATTCAAAGTATATAGAAAAAATATAAATAGATGCACTATCAAGTGTTTCATAGTGAATCTAAAACAAACTTGATGTTACGGATGGTGCTATTTTTTAATAAGTACAGTCAAAGTTTTAAAAGTATTGACTAAGAACAAATATTTAAACAGAATCTAATAAAACTAACTTGATGATACAAGCGCTGTTATATTTCGATAAATATGGTCAAAGTTTAAAAATTATTAGCTAAGAACAAAATTTAAGCTACCTACAATTTAGAAATACAGTTTAGAACATGAGTACTCCCTCCATCCATAAAAAATACAACTATATAAAATTCGTGGAATCCAAGCTATCTTAACTTTAACTAATTTTATAGGAAATAATATTAATATTTATGTATATATAAGTTTACTATAAATAAATTTATTATAAAAATATATTCAACGATCTATACAATGATAAGTTAAAAAAAAGTTGACTTCTCAAGAATCGAGAACAATTTCTATTTTGGGACAGAGGAGTATATTGTATCATAAGTATTAGTAGTTTTTTTTATATAAAACTTTAATAAAAAAACTTTAAATCATTTGACTCCTCAATCCTTTTTTTTAGAACAAACTCCTCAATCCTTATCAAACTTCAAAGTTCACCCCTGCGCAGTTCGGGCATAACCACAAAAGTACCCATTTATGTCATTCTAATAAAAGAAATGTTGGACCCACACTTTGGCACTAATCGAAAGGTGACAAAAAGAATAATTTCCATCTTATTCAGTCCAAAGCATTTATTCAATATGCCAATGCCAAGTGTGCCTTGCAACGGCAATAGCACCTAAGATATCCAACACACATGGGAGTACTCCGGCAGTAGTAATAGCAACTCTACAATCGGTAGCTCTACGCGCGCGCCAGAATTCGAGTTTTGCCAAAAGATGCAAAAGAAAAAGAACAGGAAAAGGCAGTTGGACCACATGCACATTCCGATACATTCCATCCGAATAATTTACAGAGCTACTACTGGTGAAAATCAAGCTTTTGCTGGCCATGTCGCTTGAGAAGACATAATGATGCCCACAATGACTCCGAACAGTCCCAGAGCGCTGCCAAAGATCTCAATCACCAAGATCTTTACAAAGAGTGATGAGTTCTGAGCATCAGAAAGTGCACAGCTGCTTCCAATTATCCCCACGCATACCCTGTAAATAGGAAATTTAATCATCTGGAACTGTAGCATAAATTCACCAGAGGAAACAAGATGGAGAGCCTGGTGCCTACCCGCAAACAAGATTAGCAAAGCCAACAATAAGGCCAGATGCGAAGATTGCATAGCCAGCTCGAAGAGACTCCGGAGCATACATTTGAGATGTTGGCACACTTTCAAGCTTTGTCTGGAGGATGATTGCCACAATTACACCATAAATTGCAACAGCCTCACAGAAGATGACACTGAAAAAGCAAAAGCACATGGAGATTATGATTTAAAAAATGAAGAAACTATAAAGAACAATAGTTTATGACTCGATGAAAATATAAATTTCTAATATGAAGTTCGAGCTTGTTGCATTCCTTATGTTTAAGTGCCATGTTCATTGCTCGCCAAGAAAACAGCAAAACAAGGCAGATGCAAGGATGAGAACATCATATGGTGTTTGTTTACTGAGGGTATACAAATATGTAGGTGTGAATCTGGCTGTCAGATATAACTTTAGCATGTATCCATTCAATCAAATGCAAGATGAGTTGCTTCAGGCAACTAAACAACTCTCAATCCCATTAATCCATGATTCTATTGTTCTATACTGTTTATAGAGTATATTCATAGGCATGACACAAGTGAGCTTATTTGGTATATTCATAGGCATGACACAAGTGAGCTTATTTGGTATATTCATAGAGTATATTCAGTGGCATTGGGGGGGAAATAAATTACCAGATGCCTGAATGAATGATTCTAGGTAAAAAAAAACATTTATCTAATTCTCAGAACGGTGGAAACAAAGACAGATGTAAACAACACTGCAGTTCCAAAGTCCCTAAACTAAGGTTCTACTTCTACCATTGCTATTGGATAATAATATGGGAAACATGGCATACTTTAAAACTGGAGCGGTGAAGATCTAACATTACCAGATGAATACTGCAATGCTCTGCCAGTATATCTAAAAATGAGGTAATCAAAACTCAATTGTGTTCCTAACCACCAAATGAATGGGTATGCTTCCTCTTCTAGCAGTAGTTGTTCTACATATTCTTATGAATTTCTAATGAAACTTTACACTACACATATGATGATCACAAGAAAGTGTGATCAAACGTTTTAGATTATTAATCTGTCCTAGCACCTCATCATCATTAGTGCAATAAGAATATATTACAATCTAGTTGCACAGCTAGAGCTCTATTGATCATATCCACCAACACACAACAACAACAACAACAAAAGGATAAGAGCGAAAGGAAACCAACAGATGCTGAGATAGACAAAGGACCATGATTGGAACCAAGAAGATCAACAGAAGAACTTGACTGTATTGGCCACAGAAACAGAAGAAAAGCAAAGCTAAAAATTGCACCAGCTGAACTTAAGCATGGAAGTGCATGGCTTGGAATGTTTATATGTGGAGTACTTGTCAAACAACAGTACCTATGAATCAAAGTTTTGAACCACCAACACTAACAGGAGCATCAGGGATCAAGAAATACCCAGGTCTCCAGCATTACCAGAGAGAGAGAGAAAAAACATGCACTGGTACATGTTTTTCCCTTCAAAAACAAACAACTAAATAAAAGTCTTTCCTACCATACACCAGACCTCCTCCCTCTGATTCCAAATGTAGGTCCTTAAAAAGAGTGACATGGTCTCCAATGTAAAGCTGACTTGCATTTTTTTTATAAAAAATTATACTAGTTTAAATAGTGAAAGTTGTATATATTATGAAAGTATTTTCCATGATTAGTAACATCGACCGTGTCTTGTTAATCTATATAGGTTTTAATTTATTGAGGATCAAGTTAGAAAAAGATCAACCAAGTAGAATACTAAAACAGCCTATATTTGCAATCTAATCAAAGTTATCAAGTTGTCCAACTAATCATGATTACTCATGGTTATCAGTGCATAGTGATCAGTTATGCACTACGATTAGCCACAATTAGTCCAGATGATCAGCTTCATGGCGACTAAGGTCAATAGATGATTTGAAAACATTATTGAAGGGAGTAAAAGATTTAGTTCTCCGAAAGAAAAGCCCTAACCAAGTGTGGAATATGAGAACCGAGGGGAACAAAACTTAAAAAGTTGAGAACAAGGCCAGATTGTAATGATAGGCTGATAGGCACAAAAAAAGGCCAAAGAGTTTCTTTAAGTAACAATATAGTGCTCGAAGCTAATCCAAGGTAAACTGAAATATAGGTGCATTCCCAAGAGGTCAGGGGAGGCCCAATGGTTTGTAACAACCAAAAGCTATGGAAAGGCATAGGGCTAAACAGTTGCAATAAGAGCATGAACTTTTCTAGGCGGTTGTTTGCAGGTTGTTGCCGTCTATAACCTTCTAGATTCTACATATATCAGCGCACCGTACATCAAGATGACATCCAAAACTTCCTAATACGAACGCTATATAAGTCAATATATCACGTTATCACTTGACAAATCCGCTAGACGGTGAATTCAATCAATGGACAGGAATTTTAACTATAGATAGGGAGGACATCTCCGCTAGATGGTGAATTAAATCAGGCGGAACTACAGCACGTTACCCTAGCCTAGCCAATTCTACCAACAGCAGCTTGCGCATGTAATAAGAATCGAAGGCTCCAGATTCCGTACCTGATGAGGTTCTTAGATGTGATCCTGGGCGCCTTGATGGCGGCCCCGATGAGGCTGCTCCCCGTGATGAAGATACCCCTGAAGATACAGAGCAGAAGCAAATAGCAAGGACAGTGAGAGGCAGGCAGGCGCAAGCAAGACCTGTCGAAGCGGCAGATCTAGCGAGACAGGGTGTGGAGGTGCGCGCTGGCTCACCATGCCGCGCCGAGGACGGAGACGCCGATGGAGACGGCGATGCCGATGGCGGAGAAGGTGTAGGGCGAGATATGCACCAGGGCGCGCGCCCACGACGAGGAGTCCGACGACATCTCCGCGCGCGATACGTGTCTGTCTCTTCTCGCTCTCCCTCGGCGTCGCTGTGGGACTGGATCGGGGAAGGAGGATTTGGGGAAGAAGAGCCGGGTTGGCGCAGAGAGGACGAGAGGATGCGACCGTGCGAGGCCAGGCGAGCCCGTCGACAGGTGCGTGCGTGGTTTGCACGGCGCCAGACGTGGTGGGGCGGGGCAGCAGATGGACGTGGCCGCCGCCTGGTCCGTCCGATACTTAATGGAAGGCTGGGGTAAACGGGGCCGATGGGGCGATCGGGATCACGTGCGAGTCAGGAGATGGAGTAGTTTCATTAGCTTGACGTGACACTGTGATACTTGGACACGAGGGTCCATAGCTCATAATTATATAAGTGGTCCTTAAATAATTATGTGATTCTTATCTACCAAGTAAGTCCTGAAGCTATGAAATTAAATTATGGGTCCCTAATCTATTTAAGCACCCCAATCTCAGTCCAAACTAGCCAATCCACACTCCATTCATCTTCGTTCGACTTGTGAGCTAGGCTTACTGAGCCTTTGCTCATTCCTTGCGTCTGTTTTTCATCCTGTCTCAGCAAGAACATCTTTGATGCCACTTGCAAGCACGAATGGACAGAACTAGGCATTGTTGTTGGGTGTGCGCCTCCACCATGATGGCAAGGAGCAGTTGGTTAATATCCCCACATAGGCATTGTATTATAGCCTTGTGCACCTAGTCATGATGCTAAGATCCTCATAGCTACAACATGGCGGTCACACGAGCAGAGCATGTCGAGCGCGGTCATTCATCGGTAAAGGAGAAAGGCGGGTGTTTTGGACCATAGTTAGAGTACTTTAGTAGATTATACGGACCCAGATGTGTAATCTCGTAGCTTTGGGGTCTAGATGATCACGTGATAGTTTCGAGACCGCCCATATAACTATGAGCCGTGACCCACATATCAAATCTATGCCGAAGTACTATGTCCGCTAATAGAATGTGGTGTGACTGCTTTAGACTTGGATTGGGGTACTTAAATAGTTTAGGTACCTGGATATGCAATTTTATAGGTTGGGGACCTAGATGAGAATAGCACAATAGTTTAGGAACCGCTGGTATTTTAATCAAGAATTTGATACTAACAATGTAGTCTAGTCAAATGGCAAAAAAAAAACTACATTGGCCAAAACTCTTCGTATCCTTCCATGTTGGAAAAATACCTTCCAACAGATCTCCAAATATTTCTATCATCTATTTATGGTTTCTCGCTCGCTAAAGATAAAGAATATAGTTGGCTCTCTAGAATGCCGAACAAGATATACAAAAGTTGTTAGAGGGTGAAGAGATATAGATTTAGCGAGTGAGTTCAAAAAAGACCATTTTAGATGCTCTAACAAGCTAACTAGTTGTGACATGAAATGTCAACTCTAGGAACAACCCTTCTTACAATATTTAATTTTTACCATCTTTATGAGTAGTCACTCTTCAAATGTGAATTTTAAAATTGCCCCTACAAATTTGCTATATATGAGAGAGAATAATTCTTGCATATGTGTGCTCTTTTGTGCATTGGCAAGCGATGGCGGAGAAGGTGTAGGGCGAGATCTGCACTAGGGCGCGCGCCCACGATGAGGAGTCCGACGACATTTCCGTGCGCGATATGTGTCTGTCTCTTCTCGCTCTCCCTCGGCGTCGCTGTGGGACTGGATCGGGGAAGGAGGATTTGGGGAAGATGAGTCGGGTTGGCGCAGAGAGGACGAGAGGATGCGACCGTGCGAGGCGATGCGAGCCCGTCGACAGTGCGTCGTCGTGGTTTGCACGGCGCCAGACGTGGTGGGCGGGGCGGCAGATGGACGTGGCTACCTGGTCCGTCCGATACTTAATGGAAGGTGGAGTAAACGGGGCCGATGGGGGATCGGGATCACGTGCGAGTCGAGAGATGGAGTAGTTTCATTAGCTTGACGTGACACTGTGATACTTGGACACGAGGGTCCATAGCTCATAATTATATAAGTGGTCCTTAAATAATTATGTGATTCTTATCTACCAAGTAAGTCCTGAAGCTATGAAATTAAATTATGGGTCCCTAATCTATTTAAGCACCCCAATCTCAGTCCAAACTAGCCAATCCACACTCCATTCATCTTCGTTCGACTTGTGAGCTAGGCTTACTGAGCCTTTGCTCATTCCTTGCGTCTGTTTTTCATCCTGTCTCAGCAAGAACATCTTTGATGCCACTTGCAAGCACGAATGGACAGAACTAGGCATTGTTGTTGGGTGTGCGCCTCCACCATGATGGCAAGGAGCAGTTGGTTAATATCCCCACATAGGCATTGTATTATAGCCTTGTGCACCTAGTCATGATGCTAAGATCCTCATAGCTACAACATGGCGGTCACACGAGCAGAGCATGTTGAGCGCAGTCATTCATCGGTAAAGGAGAAAGGCAGGTGTTTTGGACCATAGTTAGAGTACTTTAGTAGATTATACGGACCCAGATGTGTAATCTCGTAGCTTTGGGGTCTAGATGATCACGTGGTAGTTTCGAGACTGTCCATGTAACTATAAGCCGTGACCCACATATCAATTCTATGCCGAAGTGCTATGTCCGCCAATAGAATGTGGTGTGACTGCTTTAGACTTGGATTGGGGTACTTAAATAGTTTAGGTACCTGGATATGCAATTTTATAGGTTGGGGACCTAAATGAGAATAGCACAATAGTTTAGGAACCGCTGGTATTTTAATCAAGAATTTGATACCAACAATGTAGTCTAGTCTGATGGCAAAAAAAAAACTACATTGGCCAAAACTCTTCGTATCCTTCCATGTTGGAAAAATACCTTCCAACAGATCTCCAAATATTTCTATCATCTATTTATGGTTTCTCGCTCGCTAAAGATAAAGAATATAGTTGGCTCTCTAGAATGCCGAACAAGATATACAAAAGTTGTTAGAGGGTGAAGAGATATAGATTTAGCGAATGAGTTCAAAAAAGACCATTTTAGATGCTCTAACTAGTTGTGACATGAAATGTCAACTCTAGGAACAACCCTTCTGACAATATTTAATTTTTATCATCTTTACGAGTAGTCACTCTTCAAATGTTAATTTTAAAATTGCCCCTACAAATTTGCTATATATGAGAGAGAATAATTCTTACATATGTGTGCTCTTTTGTGCATTGGCAAGCGAATATCCATTGTGGCTAGGTGAAATGAAATGACCCTTTTGGCTCGCCCTCTAGGCCTGTACCTTTCACTTTCGCATTGCTCTCTCATGAGCACAACAAAATCCCTCATGGACAACCTCAATGTCAATCCTAAGCTAAAGTCCTCCGCTATAGCCGCTAGAGTGAAAAGATTAAGATCTAAAACGATACAATTTAAGAGTACGAGGGCCGATGTGACACACCTCGACAAATTTAATGAGTTTATAATCATATAAATATTATATAGATCAAGATTATTAGATTCATTTTGATAACCACTGTCTCTATTTTAAATTATAAGGTGTTTTGATTTTTTTAGATACATAATTTTTGCTATATACTTAAACTTAGATATATGCGATATGTATGCAGAAAAGTCAAAATATATCATAATTTGAAAGAGAGTACCTATAAACGTTATGATAACTAACTGCTCACTTTACATAAACCATGAATAAAGCAGCTGAGCTACGGCGGGTTCAGAATTCAGATCCTGTGCATGTGTCGCTGGGCCCAGCAGTCAGCTACAGGGGCTTCGCCGATTCGTAGTAGAGACCACCGAAACTTCAAAATAAAATCAAAACGCGTGGGTTTGATTCGAGTTCGACTCCAACACGGGAGAGATACAAACGGAGGAGCTCCACCCAGGCAATAAAAGCTAGGAGCCCTCTGGTCCCTTCCTTATTTTGCATCTCGCCATTGCTACAGCTCTCTGCCTGTCCATGTGCAGCAGCGTAGGTCTGCCCATACATATCTCGGGGTAGTTGCGGCTCTCCAAGCGCCGTCTCCGCGAACTGGTCGCTTCCGTCGGCCCGCAGCCGACCACCAAATCGCCGGTACGGTTGCTGCTATGGCGGCCAACTCCGCAGAGAAGGCGCGGGCCCTGGAGCAGTGCGAGAGAGATCTGGACGTGGCGATCGAGCGCGCGGTTAGATGCCGCTGCTGGTGCTCATCACCGCTGCCGCGGCCGCCGAAGAAGAAGAAGAGCAGCGCACCGTCGTTGCTGTTCATGTTCCTTCAGACGGCAGCGACGACCGCACGGACCAGTGGATCGAGAGACTCGTGAAAGCGATGGCGAGCGCCGAGAACTGGGGCGACGCCAGGGCCCGCGCCGCCAGGCTCCTGGAGGACTTCGACGCCTCCGTGGCCACCGGCTGTACAAGGAGACGGCGGCGGCCAACCGGGAGCTCCAGCGGCAGCTCGCCGGGTGCCAGGAGCGCGTGAGGAGCCTGGAGACGGATAACTACGCGCTGTCCATGTACCTCAGGAACGCGCAGCCGCAGGGGGGCGCCATCACCGGTCGGTTCCACCACCCGGAGGTCTTCTGAATGAAGAAAAAAAAAGGGGAAACAAACCAAGAGCATGGTTTTCCTAGCTTTTTTCAATCAAGGGAGAAGAAAGACATCTCCAAACTCAAGCCATATGGGTTCATGACAAGGCATGCACAAACATGTTATGTATACATGGTGTCGTCGTTGACCCAAATTATTATTCAGCGCGGGGTCAATGCTGCTGAGGTTACACGCGCGCTGCTATTATTTCCGGTGCGCGTGCGTCTGGATCGTTAGGAGCGCACGTCCGCCAAGGAATCACGTCGGGATACCGGTTTGTACTCTGATCAAGGTACGCCGCAGCACATTCGGAGGTTCTTGACGGCACAAGGCCTGCGACGTCATTGGATCATCACATGCAGAGAGCAAGTAGATCGAAGCCATGGAGGAGACGGCGGTTCCGAGCTGAAGACGTAAGCTTCGTTTTTTTTTTGTCCTTTCTTTCTATTTTTTAGTTGTTTTTGTCTTCCAATTCCAAG